CAGTGATAATTGTACCACTTCTGTTGGTACAATTGGATCTTTGGATCCAATCTGATGCAATTAAAGGGTTTGGTTTTTCTTGCACTATTAATGGGCGGTGGACAAAAACGTTAATGCCAGATGGGGTTAGTGGCTTAGAAAGAGTTCCTTAAAACTGTATATAAAAGCTTTGGTAAAGCATGTAGTATCTTCATGGTTGCCCTCCCAGACCCATGTGGAGCTGGCATCTAAGGTTGTACAAAACTGAGCTGGCGCAGGGTAAAGAAACATTTGTTTAAAAGGGGGGGGGGGTTTAGCCCACCTTTCCAAAAAGCTTACAATCACATTTAAAACACACACCCACTGTTTTGAGATCTGTTACCTTTGGTAACGTCACGAGAAATACAGCCCTTTTTGAAATATGCACTATAAATCTTCAGGAAAAAACTTCTCAAACTGTTTTGTGTGCTTGTGTTCCCAGAACACAATGGGAACAAAGATGGAAGAAACTCTGGAGTGTGGGAAGTGTGACACCCTTAGCACACACACCACTAGGAGGAACTCTTGAGCTGAGCAGAATTTGAACGTGTAGGTCTACATACTTTGTATTTATACAGGTATGGGGGGAGCCTTCAAGTATGTAGGTTCCAGGCCATGAAGGGCTTTAAAATCAAGTATCATCACCTTGCATTGTGCCCAGAAGCAAATGGTAGCTTAGTTTGCTATTTTAATGTTCGTGTCATGTGAGTGTGGTGATTGGTCTGACAACAGATGGGCTACCACATTTTGCATGAAAGGAAGTTTCTGAAGTTCTCTTTAATGTGCTTACAGAAAGCACAAGACTAGATGTAACAGAAGTATGAATTAGCACAGCCAGTGCAGCTGAGCATAGAATGTGAGACCACCTCTAGACCATCTCGGGAAAAGATGAACTACTCTTACCTGTGTAACCAGTTTGGTTACACAGACTCTAATCTGGGAGAACCAGGTTTGATTCCCCACTCCCCCACTTGCATCTGCTGGGTGACCTTGTGCAAGCCATTGTTCTGATAGCAGCTGTCCTTGAAAAAGAGCAGTTTCTGTCAGAGCTCTCTCAGCCCTACCCACCTCACAGGGTGTTTGTTGTGGGGAGGGGAAGGGAAAAGGAGTTTGTAAGTTGCTCTGAGACTGCCTTGGGTAGTGAAGGGCGGGGTATAAATCCAATCTCCTCCTCCTCCTCCTCCTCCTTCTTCTTCCCATCACTGAGGCAGATTCCAGGAGGATGTACCCAAATCTTCACCTGAGCAGCCAAACTCCAAGCAAAATTGGAGAGTTCCATTTAAAATAGTATTAACTTTCCTGACAATCACCTCAGTCTTGTATATGGTGTTTGTTTATGCTGTATTTTTACAGGACAGTCTTTCCCCACACACACACCACTTGTCCCGTATTCCAAACCAAAATCCTGGCAGACATTAAAAAATTAGCTTTTTTGCCTAGAAAGAGAATGAGGTTGGAAAGAGAGGGGTGATTTTTGGTGCTGTTAGACTTCTGCAGAGCCACCGGGTGTGGTCATGCTGTCTTTCTGTTGTCCTATGTATGTAGAGAAGCAAATTTCCAGAAATTTTGAAGTCACAAAAATTCTGGGAAAAATTGGAAGATACGTTATACTTCCTGTCTTATCAAACCCAGCCTAATTTTACTGCTTTAACAATAAATGCATCATTTATAATTTACTTGGCATATAAAATGGCAATATTTGATTTACTCGTGGAACTTAGAAGTTATAAATGCTTTAGTTTTTTATAAGCTAAATTGCAAATATACCCAAAAGTTGAGAGAATTCTGCATGCTGATGCCCCTTATGATATCTTAGTATATGTACCTCATTTTTTGCTATCTGAAAAGTAGAAAAAATAAGAGTTAAACAGATAACACAAGCTTTGAGGTAAATAGCATAAAATATATTTTTTCAGAGAAAGGTTCACACAAAGGGTGAATAATATCTGTACTGCTAGATATAGTTTGTTTATTTATTTGGATTTATATCCTGCCCTTTCCCTTAATGGGCTCAGGGCAGGTTCGAACAGTATAAAAATACAATACAATTAAAACCGCATTAAAACACAGTATAAAATAACATAACTCATATATGCCATATTCCAATTAGATACTGTCTTCTTCCTTCT